TGAAAAAATATTCAACATCATTGGTCAATTGAGAAATGCAAATTACAATAACACTGAGGAGCCGGGGAGATAGCTCAGTGGAATAATCGCTTCCCTGGCAAGCGCAGGGGCCTGAGTTCAATCCCCGGTTCCACCAAAACAAACAAACAAACAAACAAACAAACACTGAGATTCCATCTCACCCTAGAAAGAATGGTTATCCTCAAAAACAATCAACCAGGGCTGGTGAGATGGCTCAGTGGTCTAAAGCACCTACTTAGAACAAGCTAAGCTAAGCAAAACACAGGGACGGCGGTTCAATCCCCCAGCACCACATGCCAGACAGCCCCGCCCCCTGGTGGGCTGAGCTGGCCACACACATAAATAAATAAATAAATAAATAATTAAAAAAAAACAATCAACCAATTAATTCTGGCAGGGCTGTGGGGAAAAAGGAACCCTTCTTCATTGTTGCTGGGAGTGTAGACTAGTGCAACCACTTCAGAAATTAGTGTGGAGATGCCTCAGAAAACTAGGATTGGAGGTCCCATTCAACCCAGAATACTCTCTGGAAGAACTGACATCATACTGCAGCAGCACATGTGCACCCACGTTTACAGCAGCACAATTTGTTACAGCTAATCTTGGAAACAAGCCAAATGCCCATCAACTGAGGATTAAAATGAAGTACTACTCAGCTATAAAAAAGATAAACTCAAGGCTTTTATAGGTAAATGGATGTAACAAGAGACCATACTCATAAGTGAAATAAATCATATTCACATGTGTAAACATCATATTGTCTCCCTAGCGTAAGAAACACACAGCAAATAAAATCCAAAGGGTATGACAGATATTGTGAAAGGGAAAGAAACTCAAAAGGAATGAACTGGGATGGGAAAAAGGTGAAAAGGAAGGATATATATCTATAGATACAGATCTATTAGCTAAGATAATTGTACTATTAATTTCTATTAGTTCATTGAAAGGAACAGTTAGTGCTTATATTGTTTGATCAATTTGGCAAGCCTATATCTGGTAGTCTGAGCAACTACTTTGAAAATAACAATATGCAGTATAATAACCATTATTAATTTCCTGGCATCTCGTTTTGAAATTCTATATCATTTTTATTATTGTTTTCTCTTTAAAATAAATAAGTGGGGGGCCTGCCCCTTAGCTCAGTTCTTTAAGTGGCTGCTTCAACAAAGCAGTCAGGCTCAGGTTGCTGGGGTTCGATCCCCACAACTCAAGCCACCCAAACCTGCCCTGAAGGCATTCAGAGCACAAAATAAATAAATAAAATAAAATTTTTAAAAAGTGATGTAAAAAAGTTACTATAAGACTTGGTGAAAAAGAAACTGAAACCCTAACACATTGTGGTACAAATATATGGTAAATCAACTCTGAAAAGTAACTTCGGGGTTTAAGTACTATGATAGATTTCCCATAGGACCCAAGCATCCTACTCATATACCTAAGAGAAATGAAAACATGTGTCCACATAAAAAATACAAAATATTCAGACCAGCATTGTTCATATTGGTCCTAAACTGGAAACAAAAAATATTCACCAGGGATGGGGAGATGGCTTGGTGGTATAAGCACCTGCTGGCAGGCACAACAACCCAAGTTCAATCCCCGCTACGGCATGCTGCACCAGCCCCACTGTGCCTGCCCCCAAAACCAGGTGTGGTGGCGCATGCCTGTAATCCCAGTGCTGGGGAGGCTGAGACAGGAGGGCCACTGTGAGTCCAAGCTGCATAGCGAGACCCTGTACCAAATAAATAAAAGATTAAATTTCTTTTTCAATCTATCAATTGATATATGGATAAAGAAAATATGATCCAGTAATTCCCTCTTATTCATGGTCTTATTTTTCTGATTTTTTTTTCTTTTTGTTTATTTATTTATTGGATACAGGGTCTCAATGTGCCGCTCGGACTCATAGTGATCCTCCTGTCTCAGCCTCTCCAGCACTGGGATTACAGGCATGCGCCAGTGCACCCGGGACTTCAGGGCCAGCACGGCATGTGGTACTGAGGATTGAACTCAGGTCTTCGTGCTTGCCAGGCAGGTGCGCAGACTGCTGAGCTACGTCTGCGTCCCCAGCCCATGGTCTCATTTTTCATAGTTGTTTCCTGCAGTCAACCACAGTATAAAAATGTTATATGAAAAATGCCAAAAACAAACAATTCATAGTTTTAAATTATACACTATTCTGGCCTGCATGATTGATTCAATTTCATTCTGCCTCAATTCCACTCCACCTGGGATGTGAATCATTCTCTTGTCCATTAGATCCCGGTTGTATATGTGACCTGCTATCCAGGTCAGCATATCGGCTGGCATGATATCATGGTTCAAGTAACTCTTTCTGTATTGAGTAATTGTCCCAAAGTGCAAAAATAGTGAGGCTGGCAATTATATCATAGTATATTGTTATAATTTTTCTATTATTATTGTTATGCTCTGACATAGTTGTGCCTAACTTATAAATTAAGTTTCATTATAGGCATGTGCGTCTGGAGACAGCAGAGCATAGTTTATGGGGTTTGGTACCTTCAAAGGTTTCAGGCCCCCGGTGGAGCTCTTGGGCTTTATCCACTACAGATAAGGAGGAAATACTACGTATGTGTATAATCAAGCAGTATTTAGCCAGACCTAAGAATCAAGTACTGACACACTACAATATAGATAAATCTTGAAAACACTACGCAAAATGAAGTAAGTCAGAAGAAAAGACCACAGACTGTATGCTGCTACTTATATGAAGTGGCCACAAAGGTACAGAGACAGAGAATCAACCAGTGGGTTACCACGGCCAGGAGTAGGAACGGGAGGTGATAGCTACTGGGATGATGGATATGTTCTTTTTTATTTTTTAATACATATTTTATTTTTTATTTATTTATTTTTTGGCAGAACCTGGGATTGAACTCAGGCCCTTGTGCTTGCCAGGGAAGCGCTTATTCCACTGAGCCAGACGGATATGTTCTAAAACTAGAATGTGGTTGTTATTGGCCTGCTTAAGCAGCCATCGCAGAAATTTCTCCATATTCAGGAGGCTCAAGTCCATGATCAGAATGCCAGCATGGCTGGGCTCTGGGGAGGTTTCTCCAGATGGCTGAGCACACCCTTCTCACTGCATCTTCGTTTGACAGGAGGGAGAAAGAGTAAGATCACAGGTGTCTTTATAAGGACAATAAACTTGTCATGAGGCTTCGTCCTCATGATCTGAGTCAAAACATAATTACAGCCCAAGGACCTATCTCCAAGTTCTATCACCTTGTGGCATTAAGTTTCAACTTACGAGTTGGGGGATAAAACAAGTCAGTCCACGCCAGTGGGAACAGGTGCACAACTCTGGAAGTAGACCCAAAATTAATGAATTGTAGAAACAAAAATGGGGGCTGGTGAGATGGCTCAGTGGTCTAAAGCACCTACTTAGAACAAGCTTAGCAAAGCACAGGGACCGCGGTTCAATCCCCCAGCACCACATGCCAGCCAGCCCCGCCCCCTGGTGGGCTGAGCTGGCCACACACACATGCACACGCACACACACATAAATAAATAAAATTTTAAAAAAAAAAACAAAAATGGGTCAATCTTTTGGCATGTAAAGCATGCTGCAGTAATACCTATTTATTTTTGTAGTACTGAGGATTGAACCCAGTGATATTCTCCCACACATCTATGTCTCTAGTCTTTTTTTAGTTTTTCATTTTTATTTTGAGATATGGTCTTGCTAAGTTGCCCAGGTGGGCCTTGAACTTGTGATACTCCTGTCCCAGATGACACTATAAGCATGAACTACCACACTTAGCTAAAGCTGTTTTCATTTTCTTCCAAACAATGAAATCTATTTTTAGAAAGGAAACTTGCCAACTATTATGCTAACTGCTTTAAATAAATTATTATAACCTTAAAAAGTTGGTAATATTATTATCTCTGACTTATAGATAAGGAAACTGAGTCTTAAAAAGTTAAACAGCTTGTACAACTAGCAAGAAAAGCAGGGTTAAAACCTGGGTGCATGTGCCCAAATTATAGAGCTCACACACCCCAGTTTGTCACTGTCTGGAAGGCCCAAGTTAAGGAACCCTTCACAATCTGTTTCCAACAATCTACACACACACCACAGTTAGGCTCCATGGGAGACCTCACTGGCCAAGGTCCCTTCTCTAGAGACCAGCATGTAATACAGAGCCTGCATATGAGTAGCTGGAAATGTGGAAGCCCAGAAGTTGACAAATGATACTGTTTGAAAATTAAGGTCTCTGCATCTCTCTCTGGGGTGGCCTGGAGGATGGGCTCAGGAGCCGTACCCTGGACAGAAGATGCATTTCTGTCTGGGCAAGTTACTCAAATCTCTGTGCTGCAGTTTCTTCCTTTTCAAAGTGGGGATGAGAGAACTTCCTCCAGTCAACTAGTAGGTATTCTGAGCCAGAAGAGCACAGCAGTGTCTCTGCAGAGCCTGCTGTTCTTGGCTTTGCTACCTAACTCCCTATATGTTCACTCTCCTGCCGTCGGCTCGTCTGTTAGTGAGACAGACAGTGTCCCACAAGGATCGCCATGCATTTCCAGTGACCCATGTGAAATCAAGGCCCCTTGATTGTGGCTTGTGGTAGTCACCTGGTCTAGGTCTTCACTCTACATATGGGAACAATGAGACTCAACAGTGGGGCCTTCCTAGAAAGTTGAACATGATTATCACGCAAATGCTCTTGCCCAGCAAGCTTTTGTGTCCCAACTTTCCCCAGGAAATCCCATCCATTTGGTTAAAAAGTAGATGAAAAAAGGCCACAATAGGATTTTTAAAGACTATCAAATGCAAATTCCAAGTTACATTATTTGAAAGATGACAATGAATGTGTTCTTAAACCTCTTCCTTTTTCCTTAACCCCCCACCCCTCAACCAAAAGCCAGTTCTCTGAAGGGCAAACCAAACAATTTTACGGACAATGGTTCAGAGGTAGGCTACTCCCAGGGAATGGCTACAGCAATTTTCCTCTTGTTACCTTGGTAACCGCTACCTTGGCGCCCTTGTTGATGAGCTGAACCACATTCTCTGCTTGGCCTTTGTATGCAGCTATGAGAAGGCGTTCTGAAAGTGCAGCGACCACATCCTGCTGGCTCATGAATTGAGAGAAAGAGGTTTTCGGGAAAGCTGTGGACAAGTTCCGTCAGCTCAACACGAAGCCACTGGCTTGGGCTGGTGCCCACAGGTACAGATGTTCTCAATCATTGGAAGGCGATTTATTCTTATGCCATCTTCAGTACCTAAGGGTTACAAAGCAAAGCTGCCATCAGTGCCACTCCCCACAAAGGACAGGCCATCATCCCTCTTCGGTGACTTGAGGGTATCCTGCCGGTCACAGTGCAGGAGGGAAGTTGGGGGTGTCAGCACATGTGGAAGCATGGTCTCTTCGGCAAAGCCCCCGCACAGAGCTTCCGGGTGGAAGGCAGCAGAAGGCACCCACCTCTCTCCGGTCCTCCCTGCTCGGGGACACTTTCCAGGACTGCAAAGTCGACTTTGCAGTTACCGAATGTCCTGGGCAGAAGAGACCTGACAGTGCTGCCCGCAGTTGCCGCCTGGTTCACACACCATCTGGTAACTGTCCCGGGCATGTTCACCACAGCCTTGGACCAGGTTTTATGGGTCACCCCAGCTCACGTGCTGATTCCTCAAGCGGTCTGGATGCCGGTGAGCCACACCTCAGAGACCCTGACAGGTGGGGTGTCTTCTTAGGGTGTTTTCTGTTTTATTCATTGTACTGAGTCAAACCCAGGGCCTAATAATGCTCCCCACTCAGGTGTACTCCCAGCCAACCCTAGATGTTTTCTCTCCGCATTTATTGCAGTTTTCTCCCATCATTCTTTCCTTGCTGTAAATAGTACAGTTTCCTGAGCTCTGGAACAGATGGAGAACTGGGCACAGGCAGAGCCAACTCCTGGTTCCAAACTGCTCAAATAATCCCCTCTAGGAGGACGCTGATGCTAACATGTGCTCTGCCAGTTTAGGAGGGTGGTTTGTATCGCTTCCTTGCACAATGAGAGGAAAATGAATGGCCTGCTAACGCCACCTACACGACACTAAGCCAAGACTGTCAGCGCTGGTAGTAGCTAGTATTAAATCTAAACTGTTCTTTCAAAACCAAATGAACAAAACCAATGAGATTTTAGAGACTGACTTCTGTTAGTAGCTCCACCACCACTACCACCACCATTAGACCAAACCAAAGGTATTGGTAATATTTAAAGGCAAAGGTTTTTTGGGTAGAAGAAATGCTTATCTACTCCCATTAGGAGAACAAGGAAGTAAAGGCGTCTTTGCATCTTAAATATTATTTTAATTTTTCAGGATTTGAACCCACGCATGTTCTACAAGCACTACCAACTGGCTATAGCTACAGCCTTTTATTTATTTTGAGACAAGGTCTTGTAACATTGTCCAGGCTGGCCTCAAACTTCCTATCCTTCTACTTCGGCCTCAGCTTCAGCCTCCTGAAAAGCTAGGATTACCCATTGTATATGATGTCTATGTAGTTCAAAATGCACTTATTAAAAATATCAGTTTATACATATGGGGGAAATGCTACAGCAAAAGAACATGATTCTTCATCATAGACCCCGCCACTCATTCTAATTTCAAAACCCTGGGAGATGTATTCATCTGTCAGTTATTTTCAGGTAAACTCAATGATGCTTTGAATCTCCAAAGACAAAGGAATTGGCCACAGCATGGCTGGGAAATGTCTGGACCATACTGAGGCCTATTGCTAGGCCTCTGTGGCATTCAGTTCATCTGGCCAAGCACTCTGGAGCCTGGGGTTAAATGCCCAAGTACAGAACAGACACGAAGCATCTCTCTCCCAGGACTGTGGTGGGAACCAAAAATGGTACTTCATTGTGCAAAGTGTTGATTCAATGGAAACACTAACTTTACAAGGGTAACTCATGCCCCTCACTTGTTTATTAGTATCACCAACTTAGTGTTTTTTATCTTCCATCCAAAATATAGGAAAAGAGAACACAAAGAAACCTGTTCCTGCTCTCTAGGCTCATCAGAAGCAAAGCAAATCTGGAGAAAGTGATCCTGTGAAGCAGAGCACCCCTCAGTTAGCTGCAGTCCGAGATCCCTGGGGTATGTCAGGCACGTCTCCTGAGTAAACAAGCTGTGAAAGAAGCTGAGACTCAAAACAGTAAGAAGGCAGACATGGTGGCACACGCCTGTAATCCTAGTACTAGGAAGGCTGAGGCAGAAAGATCACTGTGAGTTTAAGGCCAGCCTAGCCCATAAAGTGAGGTCAAGGCCAGCCTGAGCTGCAGAGCGAAATCCTTTCTCAAAAAAACACAAACAACAACAAAATGTCTGAAAAAGACAAAAACCAAAAACCACTAAGAGAAATGCAGTTCAAAATGCCTTCCTAAGTGCCTACGGCCATGTTGCACAATTATATTCAGAGCTTTTTATTTCCCAGACTGTCTGGAAGTGGTTTGCTTTTATCAACATAAGGTACACTGTCTCTTTTTATTTAAATAATCTGTGGTACAACCAAACCAACTATATTGAGTTCCTGCTCTGTTTTCCCAAATGCTGCAAAAGCACTCCAAGTCCAAATGGAGGAAAATACACACAGTAGCCGTGACTTCCTAAATGATCCCTCACACAACCTTTCTTCCCTTCATCACAGAGATTTGTTATCTCTGTACACTTGACTTCATCTGCTGTCTTCCATTCTGGAACCTTTCACAATGGGCATTTAAGTCTAAGGGCCCAATTCATACAAACACTATTTTGGCTAAAAATCTACTCATTCTGCTCTCCCCAGCTTAGCTCCTTGGGGTACAAAGCTCTGCAGCAACCTCAGCACAGGCCCAACTGAGGTCACGAGCTCCAAACCAGCAGTGCTTGGCCTCCTCAGCAACAGATGCAAGGGCCACTCGGCTTGTGGTACATCGGTAGCCACTCTCTGCCCATCCTTCTGGTCAGGCAACAAATTCAGTCTCGTAGATACTGAATCTAAAGCGCACGTCATCTTATGTCCCTAGCTGTAGGGTGATATCCCTATTTACATAATTACTGATGGTAAATAGGCCTTTGCTAGTCCAATCAATATTCCTTAAAACAAAAATTAAGAAGAAGAGATTACAGTGAGAGAAAAAAATACTGGGTAATCAGAGATTTTATTTTTAAGCTTTTCAGTTACAGCTACTAAAGAATATTCTTTACCTCCACCTCATGACCATAACAAATACACTCATAAAACAGCTTCCACAACAGCTTGCTCACACAGGATTTCAGATACCCACCACCCCAGCAGATTACACAAAAAACTGCCTACAAGAGCAGCAACAGATCCCAGGTTTCCAATTCCTAGTCTGTTGCTAACATCATCCCGGTGCACTTGGCTATCTCAAGCTCGTTCTCAATTTAAACCCAGGAACACTGTCGTTGCTAGGACCTCCAGCACCACACATCACTCAAAGTTGCCCTTACGAGCAGGGTGGCTGCAAAGGGATCCCAGAGGCAGAGTCTTCTCTGCGTTCATCCTGCTTCCTCCAGTATCCTCACTTGGAGTGAGAGAACACTGCTTTCTCATCTGACATCTAGAAACCAACAAATCAGGCCAGGCAGACACAGGCAGGGAGGAAAGCGGTAAGAAGGGATGGAGAACCCCTGACTATGACTGGGGAGGGGAAAGGAACGCACGGTGGTGACTAGTGTGTAGCCTGTGAGTTAAACTTTACTGCCAACCTGTTGGGTACCCTGGCTGAGGCAGACTTACTCCCTCCTTAAATCGGAGCATCGTTTTCCAAGCAGATGGCTATCATTCAGGACATTTCTGACTGCTGGCACTGACAAATTTCTCCCTCCCCAGCCCTATCAATCACATCCCTCTTTGTCACAATGCTCATTTTGCACAGTGTTCTGGAGGAAGACATTAGATGCAAACATGCTGCTCATTCTTTAACAGAAAGGAAATACATGCGTGAGTGTAAGTATGCAATGAGCGCCCTGCATTTAGAAAGGATTTAGCTTCCTAAGAAAGATTCCTCTCTTCCCACCCAGCCCACTGCCCCGTTTCCATTGCTCTTCATTTGGCCAACAATTCTTTTATCTCATCCCAAATGCCAGAGGGTCACACAGCTGCTTTGGCAGCCTTTCTTTCTACAGCAAAAGGTCTATGCGGTTTGTTTTTGCTATTTTCCTGTGGATTTACAACAAAGTCTCCTGGTTCCAATATCCCAAAATCATTACATTCAGCCTCCTGACAGGCAAAATATTTTAAATGAAACCTTCCAACAAAAGTCCCGGCCAGGCATAACACATAACCCACCCAGAGACAGCCCACAGACACCCAGGAGCCGGTGGTAGGAGCGTCCCCAGTCGTAACAACCAGCTTTGCTCCCACTGCTCCAAACCCTGTGTTGAAGACATTGTACTCACAGCCGGGGGTCTGTCCTCCCTGTTCTATATGGTGTTCTGCTTCTGGACAACTGCAGTTAATCCTTTCCTGGCGAGATCATTAGCTTCCTAGGACTGTCACTGCCCGCGGGTCTGCGGTGATTTACGGTACAATGCTCGCAGCCTTTTCCCCTTAGTCTCCTCTGCCGATTCCAACCAAATCATATCTAAAGGCTTATTAAGACATCCATTCAGCGCCAAGGTTTTGTGGCTTGCCAGTCTGCTCCTCACTGCTCCTGAGAAAGTGTTGGGTCTTCGGGTTTTTGTTGGACTGCTCCCTCCCACCAGCAGAGGACCTGTAACACTGCCCTGACTGAAGATCAGGGAACAATTCACAGATCTGTACAGTGTTTCTGAATGATGCTCAATGACAGAGAAATGAAGTTTGGATTCTTTCAGCAGTGATGCAAGAAGGCATGAATGCGCATGTTGTAAAGGAAGGAGGATGCAGGAGGGGAAAATCCTGTACTAAATGCTTCTCAGTAAGTCCAGTTAGGGAGATGCTCATCTTGCAGGAGCAGCAGGTGCAGACACGCCACCCTCCTGGGCAGGAACTTCCTGCACGGTGACGGACACTGCGTGACTGCGGCAGCTCAGGAGCCAGCAGCTGGCTGAGCGGTCATCCTCTGTGACCGTAAGGAAACGCAGTTTATCTCACAAACTCTCCTCTACACGGTCTCCACGGAGGAGTGGGAAGAGAGAGACAGTGGGGACCAAGCCCCTGAGGAGCTGTCACAAGCACTTCCAGGAGCTCTAAGCACTCCAGCTAAGCCCTGCCAGGCCACTTGTTGAAGCAATAGAAGCTTCCCAC